TATTATAACTTTGGTCCGATGTTTGTAAGTACCAGAACAAAAAGAGATAGACCCATTAAAATGTATACTTATATGATCAGAACGTCGAGCTGAGTTGATTTAGCCATGTCCGTCTGTCCGTCTGTCTGTCTGTTTGTATGCAATCTAGTCTCTCAGTTTTCGAGATATCCGGATCAAATTTGGTAGGTGGGTGTATTTTTATAATGTATTAATCATTTGTCGGAACCGGAAGAATCGGACCACTATAACATATAGCTCCCATACAACTGATTGTTCAGATATGAGATTTTTCGTTATAACTTCTCCATTTATGCAGCTACGAACATGAAATTTTGCAGTACTTGCACCCATTATCAACAGAATACTTACAGTGAAAATTACAAAGATCGGGTCACTATAACCTATAGCTCCCATACAACTGATTGTTCAGATATAAAATTTTTCGTTATAACTCCTCCATTTATATAGCTGGGAACAAGAAATTCCGCACTATTTTCAATAATTATAAACAGAACACTTACAGTGAAAATTAAAAAGATCGGATAACTATAACCTATAGCTCCCATACAACTGATTGTTCAGATATAAAATTTTTCGTTATAACTCCTCCATTTATATAGCTGGGAACAGGAAATTCCGCACTGTTTTCAATAATTATCAACAGAAAACTTACAGTGAAAATTAAAAAGATCGGATAACTATAACCTATAGCTCCCATACAACTGATTGTTCAGATATGAGATTTTTCGTTATAATTCATCCATTTATGTAGCTAGGACCATGAAATTTCGCGCTGTTTTCACTCATTATCAACAGAAGACTTACAGTGAAAATAACAAAGATCGGGTCACTATAACCTGCAGCCCCCATACAACTGATTGTTCAGATATGAGGTTTTTTATCACATCTCCTCCATTTATGCAGCTAGGAACATGAAATTTCGCACCATTTTCACTCATTATTAACAGAATACTTACAGTGAAAATAACAAGGATCGGATGACTACAACATATATCTTCCATACATCTGATTGTTCAGATATGGGATTTTACTGTAAAACTCCTTTATTTGAACAGCTAAAACCGATAAATTTCGTAAGATATTTTATAAATAATAATACAAAGTCTACTGAGAAAATCGTCAAAATCTATGCTGTATAAGTTTTATCTCCTATAGCACTGATTGTTCAGATACCAGTTTTTGCGATTTATAGTATTTATGTAGGAAACTAAACCCAATAAATTGTGTTACCGGTTTACATACCGATCACATAGCAGTGAAAATCACTTAGATTGGTGCCATATAAAGTATATCTTCCATACCTCTGATTGTTTAGATGCGATTTTTTATATAAGTATGTAACTCCTCTATCGATGTATGCAGATGTATTCAAAATCAGTAATCTGTCAAACTAAAATTTGCAGATGTTCATGAAAGGTATGAAGCCTTCGGCATAGCCGAAGACAGCGCTGCTCTTACTTGTTATTATTTATTTATTTATGCTTAACGCTTAACGCCAAGCGGCTTTACGCTTAAAAACAATCACACATGAAAAGTATAAAAGTATAAAATAGATAAGAACAATATGTTCCGGACTTTTAAAATATGAATTCAAGCAGGATTCGTTATATCTACTATTTTTAAAGTGGGGTTATCGATGAATATAGAGTTGATCCACCGAAAAAGTTCAATGTAGAGCTGTGTTCGTTAACTAATCTAGCGGTTCTGCTTCTGGGTCCATTCCACACGTAGTTCTTTGTAGTCTTTTTAATTTCAAGTAGTGGATTATGTCGGAGGCCTGCTCTTGGACAAATGAGAGAAAATTGAGCTAAAATCTCAGGTGAGATAACGATGCCGTTAACAAGTTTATAAAAGAAAAGCAGGTCACAAGCCTGCCTTCTACACGACAGGCTGTTAATTTTGAAGTGGTTATAGACATCATGCGTGCTCATCGCTGCTCCCACTGAATTTAAAAACCAGGATAAGTATTTACAGAACTTATGCTGAGTAGATTCCAGTCGGTTTACAAGCTGGTCAGTGAAAGGCGCCCAGACAATATTGCAATATTCGAGTATAGGTTTAACCAAGGCATCAAACAGGCGTATGAGTGTGTATGGGTCGCGGAAATCTCTGCCAGACCTGATAATGAGGCCCAACACTCTATGTGCACGTAGCGATATGTCGTTAATGTGATTAGCAAAGCTCAACTCGTTGTCAACCGACCTCTCTGAACTTGGCAGGACAACTTTTTCTCAAAGCAAAAATTCNACCGTTACTCCAAAGTCCTTGATAGTGGTGACCACCTGCAGATTTTGGCCGTTCAGCCAGTATACAGGTGGGTGTGGCTTATGCGAACGCGAAAATGACATGACAATACATTTACTTATGTTTAGACTAAGCTTATTTGATGTGCACCAGACACTTAGGCTATTGATATCATTCTGTAATTTACTCATGTCATCTGTACTAGTTATTTGGTTAAAAATTTTTAGGTCGTCAGCATACAGTAGGTGTTCCGATTTAAATTGGTTACCTATGTCATTCACAAAGATATTAAACAGTATTGGGCCCAAGTGTGACCCTTGTGGCACCCCTGATGTTGTAACAAAACTGCTCGATATGTGGCCATTAACTCTGACTTGCAGATGCCTATTACACAGGTAGGATCGAAACCATTCCAAAGCGTTCCCTTTTACTCCATATGAGCAAAGTTTCTGGATTAGTATGATATGGTCCACCATGTCAAAAGCCTTGCTGAAATCCGTATAAATTGCATGGACATCTTTGCTGTCGCCCATTGCGTCCAAAGCGTAATTAATATACTGA